TGATAATTCTTTTTTATTTGAAAGATAGTGTTTCCAGTATGGTCTCTTATTAATTTGCAGCATAGTATTTGTCAGACTTAGGGATAGGTTTTAAGTATATTAACAGAGTAAAAAATGGAGGTTCGCACTTTAACACGGTTTTGATGCGGTTTTCAGAGAAGTATTTTTATTGTTATCTATTATATAAAAATATCAATATCATAAAAAGCATGAAATAAAAAACTTACTTGAAACTTAAAAGCTCTAATAGAATTTTCTTGAATAAGTCGCTTTTGAGATAAGTATTATTTTCATTTTTTAAGTTTGAAGTCAGTTTTATTTTTCATATTAAAGAGGAATAAAAGTTTATTTTTTGGTACAAAATATTGATGGCAATATTTTTTTTTTTCATTATATTTATTCTGTATATTCTGTTCAAAATTTTATTAACCAAATAGTCGTAAAAATCATCTCTCATTACCACTACGAATATTCTTAGTTTTTTTTTAAACCAAATCTTTATCTACAGTTTTGTCAGTCAAGAATACATAAAATAACTAAATTGAAACTTTCACCAGTTAATGTGTCATATTTAACACAGTTTACGCCTACAAACAACTTCAAATAAACGAACAAATGAACTGACCAAACCCAATTCGACTAAACCCTGACTTACGATTATCGACTAAAATCTAAAACCTTTCAAAATTATCGATAAACCGTAACGAGATACGTACACGGATACACCATTAGCGGGCATAGACAACCGCGACCATAAACAAGCATTACTCGGTAGCCCTATCAGAAATCAGCCAGAGATAAAATCGAAGCGAACGCTGAAAAAAACCGGCATGACGTGAGGATTATGCCCGGGCTCCATTGTGAAAAATAACAATTGAAATCTATCCATCCCCGTCACTCTTATGGCTACACTATCAGTATGAAAAAGACAGATGTCGCTCTATTTATTTTCACTTTTCTATGGGCCCGGGTAATGTGACAGTTTTCGTATGAAATGTTTGTTTGACGATTGAAAGGGGCCGGGCTAGTTACGAACAATATTATTATTATTATTATATTTTTAATCCGTAAGCGTGAATGAATAGACTATTAAAGTTTTCGCATCGATCGCTTTACACGTTAAAGGAAGACAACATAAACAACTCATGTAGCTTCCGAATTAAATTTATTCATTAGTTGCTAATTTATTTTAAAAAGTACGTTAATTTCTTTCCACACTAAATAGAAATTTCATACTGTACACATAGTATGTATTTTAAATTCATTTTAGTAATATAAACTTTAATAACAAAAAAAGGTGAAAAAATTGATGCACATATTTTAAAACCTCTCTAAATAGAGTTTAATTGTAAATTAAAGATTTTCTTTAAAGTTGCGACAACAGCTAATATGAATAGAAGTAGAGGCGTGTGCCACGTTTTAATTTTGATGTACCCATTAATATATTAAGAAAGTCATTGTTAAGTAGAAAAACGGATCACTACGCTCATCACTTCCAACATATTATCTATGCTTGTAATACCACACAACAGAAACAAAAACATTCCACATACGAAGAATGAAAGCTCTATGTTTTGTATATGGCTCACAAAAAACTTCAGCGAGAGACACGCAGTCTGTCTATGGCCATTCATAGTCACAGTATAACAGAAAAAGTTTACATGCACATCTGTCATAATGATTTGTCACTGAACTTACTCATTACGCTTCACGTGAGCCGCCACAGAGATACGTTTTGTATCAAACTATAGTGTAAGGATAAGTGCAACCTTATTATTCTAACAATATGATATGTATCTACTTTAATTAATTAAAATAATTAAAGCATATGAACAAAATTACAAACATAAGTTCAAATTCGTAATATTTGTCTGGTTAAATAGGCATTTGTCAAAACTGATTAGAAAAAGTAATGATGCGATTTAATAATAATTATTACAGATCTATCTTAACTTTATTACTTAATAAGACAAAAGCCATAATCTATAAACGCTTTTCACTGTAAAATCGCTTCGATCAGATATAATTAATCTAACTCATTGCTGTGCTCAAAGACTTCAATTAATAATAGTCGATTTACATTTTTTATTCAAAAATTTGCTTTATTTATATTGTACTAGTTTTTTCAAAAACCAAAGGCATAACTCAGTGCGGTAGGAAGATTATCGTCGCTGGCCGCAAGTCTACGGCGGCTTAATTTATTAGAGGCCACTTAACACAGGCAGTGTTACACTATTTAGTGTTGTTAATGATTCAAACTTTTTTAAGATTACATCTCTAAGCACGCTAAGGAATGTATGTTTGTGTGTTTGTATAGTATTATTAAGCTGAATAATTTACCCCGCTTTAAAATGTGAAAAGGTGAACTCGAATAATTGAACGGATTTGGTCAAACGAAATGTTTGTAACGTTTTCTTGTGTTTATATTTTTTTATAACAAAATCTTTAAATTATATTTTTCACATATTATTAAAGGTTAGAGGTGAACTAGCTTGGTGGCTCAATTTTCGCCACGGCCCGCGATCGTTGTTGTTGAGCAACCTTCGCAAAAGCTGGCCACGGGATGGGTGATCTAAAAAACAAATATTATCTCGATCTACTCCATCCCTCCAATCCGCATTGGGCCAGCATGAAGGGTCGTGGCCAATCCTCTAAAGCGAACACCAACTAATTACACTTACTGACTTTGACACTATTTCTTTGTACAAAACCAGTTGAAAGTAAGTGGTTTTGGTGTGAACGTCCTCATAAAGCACAAAAGCAAAGAGGTTAGCAAAACTGTCATCGATAAATATTATTACATAATATGATTTAATATATTGTTCTAAAATACGTTAAATCGGATCTCATAAAAAATACTTAACGTCTAGCTATGAATCATAAAATTAGCATATCGAAATTGAAGAACGAATATATCTCTTTTTTTTCACAGATCATAGATTTTAAATTGGCGCCATTAGACAACACTGTCACAGGCTACCTACATACTTTACATAGAACAAGAAGAAAATTTATATTATAATTAGTATAGAATTAAAATGCAATATTTTAGTCTTACATCATTTCTATTAAAGTTTCCAATCTAATATTGTATTTAAATAGTTATTTCTAGGTAACCTTCTAGTGAGTTATAACATTATAACATCAAGTTGCTAAGAGTTTCTAGTTTGTTGAATTTTATCGAAATCCGACAAAAAAAACTAAATAGACAAACTTTTATAATATAGAGGGAAAATTTGTAGTCAGTGCACATTAAATTTTGTTTCCTTACTCACTCGTCAAATTGATAACCTCCTTATTTGAAATTGCTAAAAAGGTAAATTAAGTTATTAATAACAATACGCTTCAAAGTCAAAGTATCGTGTTGGCTTGTAGAAGTTACAGAACAAGTTTATGTTGTAAATTATGAGTTATTTATACGTTAGCTGATGTCATAAGCATTATTAAAAATATATTTGTATATATTAAGATACTTTGAATATTTTATAAGTGTTTGGAATCCATTAGCAAGAGCATATATTTAGGTACAAACAAATTAAAAGCAATAAGAAAAATTGATTCGACTTTACGACTGATTTGTAATATAGGTAATTAAATCAAAATAAGGGATAAGAATAGATTTCTATCTATTTTCCGTGTATGTAGACACCGAAAGTGATATATGATATTCAAAATAAAGTGTCGTTTGTAGCTTGAAATCACAGAATACACAGACTATAGTGCCCTTTATTGACAAAAAAAAAACATTGACAATGAAATCGTTATTTCCAGTCCAACTATCTCAATAGAGAAAAAAATTAAATCTTTATTGTATTAAATAGGCCTAAAAGGTATTTAATAAGGCCAATTAAACTCCTACGTTCCCGTCGGTAGGCTACATCATACGCGGGTGACATAGGCTAATTCACGCGAGCGAAGCAGCGGAAAACAGTTAGTAATAAATTTACAGACGAATAGTGATGGATAGTGTTTAAAATCGTGTTGAATATCGTCGATATCGATAATGGATCACTCATATGCGTCGTAATCTATTGATGAATAGTAATTGAGTCCGGTAAGCTTTCTGACTGATGAATTAACTATTAAGAAATCGATCATTTTTTTTCTGCTTCAATTAATTTAACTACAGGACATTGCACGTAGAAAGTTGATTGTGTATTTTATTCACATGGCTTAGTGTTTTAATACAAGCTGTATAATAACAGTATTACAGAATAAATACTTTTACGACCGCTATTCTTAAAAATATTGATAATTCCTAGTATTAGCAATATCACGCGAATACTTAAAAGTGAAAAAAAAATCATTTTTTAAATCTTAGAATCATTTTTAGACTTTAGAAGATTTATTCCGGCCAGTGTTGCCGTATCATCTACCATTTTTGTAGTAGATCTACAAATTTAGGGTTTCGTTTACTTATGTAACGATTTAACCAATATGTACAAAAAAAAATATATTACTATCAATCCTATTGCCAGACGCAATGATGGCTCATTTATACTGGTCGATGAAATTAACACGCGGTGTGCGGGCAACCTCTACTCAATAAAACGATTACCAATGATTAAAAGCGACGAATAGAAATCGCCCGCACGCTGCACGTCGTTGACATCGATTAGTATAACTGCGCCATGAGATAGACATGGACAGACTTTTGGCTTTACACCTGTCTCTACATTGCAGAGGGCTAGCGATTGCAGAAAACTAGTTCTCATTGCGTGTTTTATATCTATACCAACTAATAGTATATATATATATCTATAATAATAAAGAGACAATATAAAAATATCCGATCATAAAAATTCTTTCACCTAGTAAAAGCTACATCATACGCGGGTGACATAGGCTATAATTAAACGAGCAAAGTCGCGGGAAAACTGCAAGTGTACCTTAAAAAATGCAAGGTTCTATATAAAGCTATATAGAACCTTGAATATATATATAAAATATAACAGTGCATTTCTTATTGTGTCAATTATCTATTTTTTTTTATTCAACAGGAGTGAATCCTAGAAAACAAAGGCGGGAGCGGACTACGTTCACCCGTGCTCAGCTAGATGTCCTGGAAGCCTTATTCGGGAAGACCAGGTATCCTGATATCTTCATGAGGGAAGAAGTGGCGCTGAAAATCAATCTACCAGAATCCAGAGTACAGGTCAGTTAACTTGACTATAGCTTATTTGTTAGTTACCGTTTTCCACTACATGGTACCCGTAAATAAAAGAGTAACATTATTATTATTGTATAATAGGGATGATGACTGGGTAAAAAAATGCAATTCTATTTAGTCCGTCGGTCAGATAATAGAAAAATATTAGATACGTATTTTTTTTTTACTTCAAATTAACAAGAAATAGCTTAGATAACAGGCATTAAAGTTGAGGAGCGGGGGCTCGCTACGTCACAGTTGTGTAGAAAACGTACTCTAACGTGACGTCATGCGAAATTTCAACTCAATGTAACGCCGTAATTTTATGATTACGAAAAAAATAAAAAAATACGTGTTTAATATTTTTTACCACTCCACCTGACGGACAAACAAACAAAAATTAGTCATCATCCCTATTGCCCATTGGTTACAACGATCACCCGGATTGCGAAAGGTTGTGGGTTAGAATTAGTGGATTTTGTAACTATTTTTTCATCATAGTAGAGCAAATGTTCTTTTCGAAATATTTATTTTGTCATGAATCTGGTTTTAAATACGGAGTCGTGTTGATGATCTCTGAAGTTGATGACTCGAAGTGTCAAGTTTGATTCTTGATCCGGCTTAATGTAGAAAATATACTGTTCTATATTGAGACAATTCTCGGGTTTGGACACTGCAGCTTCCATTTTTCATTACCATAATACAAATGCTTAAATTAAAACTGCTACTTAATTTGAGATCTGGGAGAATTTTTGTTTATCATTAATATATATATGATTGAAAAAGTATATCTGTAGGTATGTACGTCTGTTACGTTTTACGCCTAAACCACATGTTTCTGTTGAAAAACTTGATGATTTACCTCTATATAATTATGAAAAACCTTGTTCTGATGAAACTGAATTTGCCACCTACTTGTACCAAACTTATACACGTTACTTAGTTTATACCCTTTATTTTTTATTAAACACTGTATTGATTTAATTCTTAATAAAACCCAATTTGGATATTAACTTATTTATTTTACAAATAAAAAACAATTCATAAAAAACTACATAATTTTTACATTATTCCATTGATATTGTAAATGTGACAAGTCATTCCACTTTTTCTGAATAGACCATTCATTTATCATCCATGTCAATAGATCACAATTGTTCACTGTCAAATTCATTAATGTTATCTTGCAACTTCAATATGTATAGTACAAATCACTTTATACAATTAACTATTTATAATAAAGGTGAACTCTATATAAAATTCCCGCTAAGCTTCTACGGAACATAAATCAACTTTACTTTTTGGCATAATTAAAGGCAAAGGGATATAGCACATACAACCTAGTCTAAATAATTGTACAGTAGGTGGCAAATTCAGTTTCATCAGAACCAGGTTTTTCATAATTATATAGAGGTAAATCATTATGTTTTTCAAAAGGTAAATCATTATGTTATTGTAGAAAGCATGTGGACCAATAATTAATTGGTAGTAAGAGCCCTTTAAGGTACAAACATTGACATGATTACAACTTAAATTTTCTAATCTGAACTACAAAACACATTAAGCTCTTCTACAATATTATTTTTTTAATGAAAAACTGTTACTTTTCTTTTAATTAACAAGGAAAACGTGTTATTTATAAATATTTTTACGATAAATTATACTAAATAAAAAAAAGTTTAATTCAATGAGCCAAATGTTCCGAATCGCTGTTTCTTGCCTGTAGCATAAAATATTTCTATCCTATTTTTATCTTAAAAAAATTACTAAAAACTTTTAAAGAGATAAATTTAAGCTATTTGTTGTAATGGTAACTCTTTTGTTTACATCAGAATTCCATTTCAGACGGTAATTTGTTTCACAATAACACCACTTTTAAGAACCTAACCATATAATAAATAAGTCATAATAATTCCAAAACAAATTTCAAACTTAGTTTCGGTACGTAATTAATCAGTTCATCTCCTTCCTATTGATGTCTCTGTCTTCCTTCTTACGATTTCGATTTTGTCCAAGAAATTATTAAATGTTAAAGACCAACATTTCAGTAGAATCATAATATTACCTAAGACAAGGCTGTATGGTTAAACATTTTAGTTATATTTTAGTAAAACGAGATATATCGCTTTCTAATTAACGCTATACTTACAATATAATGAATTCCTTTTAAGTTTATTTATTTGTAACAGACGAATATTTTTTAATAAATATAGAAATCGATAAATTCGATAAAGCGCACTTTTATTAAAGCCCTCTTGATTCCCAAACAATTACGCATCAAGAGTAAAGACGCGCTCGCTTATTTTCATACATTTTTAAGCACAGAAAAAAAAAGATATTAGGATTCACATTTTCCATTGACCATATGTTTATTTGGCAAATATTAGGATAGTCTTAGAATAAAATTTGTTCAAAAAGTGGTGATTTCGTAAAACCTCGCCTTAAGAGCTTTCAGCTTAGTAATGTCATACTCGACGTCCTACTCATTTTACATTCATAAATTAACATTATCAATTTCTCTTATCGCAACGGATTCGATTCCTAAGTAACTTTCAATTAAGTCGAGATCGATCCAAAAATTATAATCCGTCGTAATGGCCACCCAAAATTTTAAAGATGTAGATAAAAGATCGTGCACCGTTGAGTGACGACGCTCGACTGACTCCTAATTCGTTCAAACGTTCAATTTTATACGACAAGAGTCGAGCATTAGCGCGCCAATCGAATTAGCGTTCGAAACCCGAATTTGAAAATCGAATCACTCCTTTGTTGGAACATTAACCGAGTCTAATGAGATGTAACGGCCGGGTGGATGATGACAGCGTAGGATGTAATGTATTATGTCTTATATCATAAGGTACTATACTAAAACTGATTTCATATCTTATTATAATGTACAAAATATAATGTGAAAAATAAAGCAATATCCGTCAATGAAAATAAATATTTTGAAAGTTGTTCATAATATCATCACAAAAATTTAAGAGCAATTGCACCAATTTGGCTAATTTTGGTTTTAATATTATTTGTCAAGTCCAAAGAAAGGTTAAAAGATGAAAACTTGAAGAAATTGCAAGTTTTTTTTTTAATACAAAATGTTCTTAGTTTTTACCTGTTAAGAAGGATATTCAGAAATATATTATAAATATATATTATATATAAATATATATTTATATTCAGAAATATTTTTTAAGGATTAGTTTTCTATATAAAAGTGACAAAGAATTGAACATCGACTAAGACAATAAATTTCAATATATTATCCTTTGGAGCTATGGAGTTTCTAAAAAAGAAAGCAACATTTATAATTAGCAAAGGGATTTAACATAAATGTAATGCCTTTAATATATAGCAAATATAACCTAATTGTCGAGCATGGCGCCTAGGGTTGCCACCCGTACTATAATATATATAAAATATATATATATATATTATATATAATATATTTAGTACCTACGCATTAATACTTTATTTTCAGAACGTATGAATGTGCCTAATAAATTAACTTGGTAAACATATTGATTAATGCGACAGCTAGATAGCTAGTAAGTTTCTTACGCCTGTTCTTCTGGTCAATCAAAAGACGCCTGAAAGTGTGTGAGGAAAATGGTTTAAAATTGCTTACAATGAGCTTATTGGAATAAAAGATAATTTGATGTCATAACCTGTATTTTAACGCATTTTTTTAGTTAATGTTCAGTCCCCGTGAAATTTCATATATTATGATATGTACTTATTTTAAAAGCTCGTTTTTTAAAATACTGCATTTCGGTAAAAAAAGTTGGCATCCCGAATGGCGCCACGCTTCACGGGCAAAATACGATTCTCGCCTATGAAAATGATTCAACAATAATTTTATTTAAATATTACAATATAATGAATATAACCTTAGCTCTATATCAATAAATTAGCTAGTATTTTTTTTAATATATCATTCAAACAATTTACTAATACTCGATATTATTTCACCGTTTTTGAAAGCAACAACAAAATTCAACGCATTTGGAACCTTATAACCTTTAGCATAAAGACATTTGCGATTATTTTTTGACATCCGTGATCTAGCAAACCTTTCTTGGATTAAACTAGGGACCCCTTAGCTTTGGCCATTGTGTTCACGAATAATGAGTTAATGTCACACAAAAAAAGGTCAAGCGCGACTTGTATTTGACATAAGAGTTCCATAACGATATATTTTTTTTCGTCAACTTAACATCTACGAAATGCTATACAATATTATAAAAAGTTAAGATTAGCATTAAGTAAGCTTCAAACTTACGGGCCCGATTTGAAAAATCCTTTCACCTAGGGTGAGCTACATCAAATTCGGCTGACATTGAGAATGTACAAGATCTCAACAGTTATTTCTCAATATTTTTTTTTTACGTTTCCATGTGAAAAAAGTCCTAGTAATATCAACCTTCTGTCAACTGATCATTAAAAAACTACTTAGAAGCAAATACCTGTTTAAGTGACATTTAAATATGAATACAGTTACATTACATTATTTTGTTTACATTTTAATACAGTTTGAGAAGTTCGTAACTTTTAATTCTCAATAATATCTGAGCAAAGTCTATACTATATATGTTTTTAGCATCACATTTGCGCCCTACACTTAAAGATACTTAAAATATCAGTGCGAAGACCCTGATAATAAAACTTGTAAAATTACACCTAAATAGGTAATGAAAATAAAAGAACATCATTAACTCTCCTACCGAGCACCTCATGTGGAACCCTAAAAAGAGCAGTGAACAAACAGTGCCCCTTTTATAACAGATGTGACAAATCAAAGGAAGTTACAACAGCAACAATCGTGATACAATCAATTAGTGAAATTAAGAGTACCAATATATTGAAGGCATATCGGATTGATACTCTGATACCTTATTATGATTTCTATGTATTATTAACGTAATTCTTTTTTCCACAGGTCTGGTTCAAAAACCGAAGAGCGAAATGCAGACAGCAACTGCAACAGCAAACGAACACTCAGATCTCTAGCAAATCATCAACATCGAAAACCTCTTCGATATCAAGCAGCAACCTCAAAAGCTCTTCCAGCAATTCCTCAACTTCATCAAAAATAACCACTTCTAAATCCTTATCCACATCAACTAGCCTAACGACCACACAAAACTCATCTATTATAACCACATCGTCCCCTAACCTACCGATCACACCTACGACGTCTGTCAGTCCACCGATAAACGTCATTTGCAAAAAAGAATCGGCACCATCCAACTACGAATCCTCCCCTTTAAATAAAAACAATAGTCTAACATCAATCTCCCATCATTACAACTCAAACGATGCGTTAAGACTGAGCGGGAAAGAGTCTTCACCCTCTGATACAATATCAAACGTTCACGGATACGGAGTGACGCCAAAGCAGGAGTTGTACAACAGTCCAAAGAGGCTGGACTACTCGAGCAAACTGGACTACACCGAGAAGTCTTTCGGTAGTAGCTTAGTCAAAGACCAGTACAGCTCGAGGCTGACCGGCAATCTGACACCCCTCGGATCGAATTCCTCTATTATGACCACTCCCTCCCCTCCTATTACACCTCAGAGCTTGAATGGTCCGGGTAACGTGTACCATCCGGACAGTTACAACAGTTTCCATTGGCCGGGCAGTTCCGATTATATAAGAAGCTATTCCACGTCGCACCACCATCAAGGATACGGGCAGAGTGCTTATAACTCACCTTATTATCCTAGTCAGGCAAGTTACCGTTCAAATCAAGAGACTATAGTTAAACTTTGTATTTATTTATATTTGTACTTTTTTTATTGAGCAATATAGCATAAATAAATAACGTAACTTGCGCTATATCTGAAACATTGTTCTGAACACGCAAATCAGTTTGAACCGAAAAAAAATCGCACCTATAGGTTAATTAAGTTTATTTTTGGCGAAAATAGGTTCATAGGAATAGCGCTTCAACTACATATAGATCTAATTTTGATGTTTCGTTGTTGTGTTAAGATTTGGATCATTAAATTGAGAACTAGTATTTAATTATTCTTAATACAAAATGCTTAAAAAATCCACTTGGTCCCTGGCACTTTGAGATGGGAATCAAACCCACGACCTTTCGCAATCCGGGCGACTGCTCTAACCACTGAGCTACCCAGGACCTAACTCACAAATTTTTCAAGCACTTATTACTTTATGCTACTACAGAGCGTATTTTCATCAACGTTCAGGCAATCAAACCAAACAGCCGAAAGAAATATTTCTACAAATATTCAAACTTTATTTCTACAAATAGGTAATCTTAATAAAAAAATGCTGTCTTAATGAAAGTCTATGGTCATTGTCAATAGGAATGTTACTAACCTCTTCCTTGATTAGCATTATCTAACATTATATTATTTTCCAGATGGAGTATTTCAATGGGTCATCAGTAAACCAATCACACAGTAGCCACCACAGTCACAATTTGACAACCAACGGCAACCAACTATACAACCAAGTATCGTTCGGAAACCCATCACCGCCCGCGGCGTGGCCATCTCACCACAACATACTGTCGTCCGGACCTGAATCCCCAGAGAACCAATCACAGAATTCCCCACACTTATCAATGCTCCAAGCATCCCAGATCACGAACTTTTCAAACTCTGGTAACAGTTACTTCGCCCCAGAAAAGTATGGGATTAACATGGTGTAGTATAAATCTAGTCTTTCGTATTTGTAGGTTGTAAATAGTTTGTAAAATAGAGCGATGGGTCACATTGTGAACGGTTTACATTGAATTAGTTTGTTTTTGAAACGTCTATCATGTTTCTGAATGTTATAAAAAGCATAAAAAAGCGCGCCAAAAATGGCGGACATTTATACGGTAATAACGTTCGGAAATCAAAGATGGACACAGATGTAACATCGTTAATAGATACGCATTTTTTATTCCTGTCTCATTTGTTGATTGATATTTTATATCACTTTCGGTTATTACTCCAGAAAAAATATATCTATAAGTGAGAGAGTTTTTAAAAATGCGTTGTTAAAATACATATCATTTAACAGCAAAGTTTTTACAAAACAATCTGGTTAATTGTAAATCGTGCATTCTATGAAGCAACGAGGAATCGTAATGAGTAAATTAATCTTTTGGGCAAGAGTTAAGGTCATACTGTGATTCTTCATAGACAATACTGTTTATTTTTTCAATTTATCTCTGTACTATAAAGTTATAATACCATGATCTTATTCTAAATTCAAAAACACATGATGTAACATACCATGTATGATATTAAAACTTGCTAAACTTTTTAATTTACCCTAAACTTTTAATTTTATTAAATAAAAGCTGCATTTAATACAGGTGACGTTTACTTCAACGACTTTCAAGGAAATTATCAACGAAAACTTATTTATTAAAATATAAAGAGGCCTAAATAACGTAACTATTTCTTAATGTTGTGTTGCTATATCTTTAAAGAACTTACGAAGTTTTATTAAGTAAATGTATAGAGATTTCCTTTCTATATTTGCTCCCTAAAACCCTTTGTAAAAAGATACCATGAGTCATATCACTTATATTTAAAAAGAAATAAAAGTAAGGCTATGCTTAGTGATGAAATTTGTTAAAATACAGCGCTAATAATACCATAGTTTTATTATTGTATATAATTATCTATGTGTTTTTAAGAAGTTTTTTATTTTAAATGAACAATTTGTAAATGTGAGTGTTCCGAATGTATATGTGATTATATTGAATATAATTATTAGTCTGTAAGTTTCCGGAATAAACAAATTCTTTCGTCTAAACTTAAAAATATGCAGCATAATGTTTTTCATTTTGGTATTCGTTTCATATTTGGAATGACATTAGAAGACATTTTCAGCTCACAACAGCCTAATATTCCAATTTCAAAATAAATTATAATTTAAAGGTGTCTTGAAATTGTGTGGTTAATTTTTGTTTATAATTATTATTTATTTAAATTATACATACTGTTTAAATGAATTGGAAAAAAATATAAAACTCTTTGACGTTTCATTCAACACGAAATGTGAAAAAAGCCAGTGTAATAAAAATAAACATTACAAAACTTAAAGAGATTATTAGTTAATTTATATTTTATTTTATAAGACCTAGTATTTAAATGTAATGAAATTTGTAATTTATAGTAAATTTTAAGCTTGAACATAGGTAGCTAAGTTAGTTTTAAGTATACTAAGTACTCTAATGTACGGTATTCGATGAAGAGTCAGTGTATTTTTTTTAATTTAAGTTGTATTAATTCTTGATAGCTATTGAAATATTGAATCCGAATATATGCATATAAAATACAAACATATTGTGTTTCATTTTTAATATCATTACAGTGATGTGAATTTAACTACATAGACCAGGGGCTGCCAATGAGAAGCTCATAATTCGCATGCGGCTCTTCGCTGTAAAGTGCAAAAAGTTCCGATTACAAAAAATATTTTTTTTACCTACGAAACCTGTCAATGTTGAGTCATACTGCCTACGACTGAAAAATGGATATTCAAAGTCGTTTTGATAATAAGGTTGCGAACCCCTGCACTAGACGTATTCTAAAAAGACAGGGCACCATCCGTTTAGGTAAGATGGACTTGAGGGAAGAGGAGATATATTTAAATATGGCAAAGGAATTAGCCGTTTCAACTTGTTGGTAACCTGTTTGGCAATTTACATACGAAATTATCTTAAATTCTTTAAAAGTAATAATAATGATCTTTATTTTCCAAAATGATTTAACAATAATGTAACATTAGACAACTCAGACAAGTAAAAGTTACACTTGTGTTGGAAATATCTCGCTCTTATTATTGTTTAAAAGGAAAATACAGTGAAATTTTACAGAAAAAAAATGTAAGCATATTTTTCAACAAATGAAAAATTATTATAAACACCACTTTGTCCCTGGATCGTATTACCATCAATATTCAGGCAATCTACTCAAACCTAAAGAAAAATTTTCAAATATTTAAACTTTAGATAAATATGAAAATTCCTGTCTTGTCCAGGTCCTGCACGCGTAGCATGACAAACTCGAGAAACGCTAGGTCTACACTCATTTGTCAGTTTCTCGGGTCAAGAGTGAGATACCTATCGACAAAAGTGACATTTGAACTTTCTCGAGTTCGTCATGCTACGCGTGCTGGGTTGCTCAGTGGTTAGAGAAGTCGCCCAGATTGCAAAAGGTCATTTCTTCTTTTGCAATCAGAGTGCCAGGGACAGAATGAATTTTTTTTAGAATTTTTCATTAAGAATATTTTTAAGCATAGCATCGGGAATGCAAAATTGATCAAATATAATAATTAAAACAAATTTTCATGGGCAAAGGCCATTTTGTTTCGACTCTACTCTAAACTTTTTGACAGTACGAGAGCTCTATGGCACAGTGTTTAGTTCGCTCCGTCGCCGATATATTGTAAAGCATCTTTCGCAATGATCAGTGATAGGATGACTAACCAAAAATATTATCTCGAGCTCCTCCGTGCTTACTTAAGGCACGTTAAGCTGCTGGGCCCGACTGCAAAAGAGTCGTTAATCTAGTGATGATGATTCCATCCATAAGTAAGGCCTGATCCCCAGCAGTGCCAATGCTCAAAAAGGACCATAGACAAGCTTTTAAAAAACTTTTTTGTAAGTAACTTGTCAATTGTAGAGAGTTTTTATACAATTTTCTCTAAAAATAAAAATAGTTTTTTTATTACGATGTCTTACAAATTATCACACTTCCCAAAATTTATTTATACGGATTTCCAAGACCCGGCCCTTATTAGATACGATTACCTTGCAGTCATTACAATTTTATATTTAGCTTAAGATACTCTTTTATGAAATTAATATTTTAGATTCTAAGAATAAGACAGACGAATTTCTGTTTTTTGCGGTAAAAGTCACTATAGCATCTTGATTTAAAATTGTACAAAAATTCAAAATAGGTTGTATTTTAATGACGCAATTACACTGACTAATGACTCTTATTAAGCTCTTATTAACATTCTCATGTGATGAAAAAAGCGGAAAAATTAACTTTCCTGTTCCAACCTATTGCCATATTTTAAAGCACAAATTCAATTATAATAAGCAATTGAATTAACCCTTAAACATAAACTACTAAAAAGGAATTACTAAAATATTCCATGATTTAACATGACGTCCCATAGACTTCGTAAGTTAGTCGCGCAAAGGGAACATGATATGTTCGGTCATCGACTGAAGCCGCATGAGAGCTCGCTCGCACCTACTTAAATTTCCACACATACCTAGACAAAATTAAACTATCTATTTACAACAAAATAAATAGCAAGAAAGTTTCGGATATTGTGTTCTTATTGCTTAAATAATAAAATTTAACCTTATTACCACATGACAAAGCTCTTAACACTCGTATCTTAGTCAAGAAAAGTAATTACTTGAGATAAAGTCATAACATAAGCATATACCTATTTTGAGTCGAGTTCTAACAGTACTTATTTCATTCAAATTGTATTATTTGGTAAAAATATCAGCCTAATTTATGACATATTATCAAATAATTATTTCTCTCGATTGCAAATATTAAATTTAAAATTTAATATTTGCATGCTATCTCTGTATTATCAAATTACTATCAAATTGTACCCTATTTAAAGGCAAATAAATGATTATTATTATTATTACAGATACGAGTATTAGAGCATGGATAACGTCGGGTATCTGTAGGGCCATACCATGGAAATAAAAAAAAAATCACAATTTAACACCTGAAAATCAATCTTGTTTTTCTATCCCTCGTTATAATTACCTATACCGTTTCTTAAAGGGAAAATTTATAAACACGTAGGTCACTTTGTAGCTGAGAGCTTTATGTAAAACTTTAACATAAATTGTGATATAAGTTATTATTAGTTTTCTGACAGATTAGTTTTTTGGAGTTCCCCATTCTTTATCAGTTTTCCTGTAACAAACGGGTATTATTATTCTAAAAATTTCACAGGCAACATTGCATTTTTTCAAGCTTTTCCCATGTGGAGAAATTGGAAGTTTTCATTATGCTTAGGAGTAACTTAAACCTGTCGTATAAATATTTAGGAATCGCTTAGGTGAAAATCCATTTTACTAATGACTCGGAAGCACCTAATAATATAAGCACTGTCTAAAATTACGACATACGTTGTACGGCACTTTGCGCTAGGAATTCGCGTAATATGATGATAGATCACAAATATGTCAAGGGATAAAATAAAAACTGTTTATTTCGAACTAAACTAATCTACTTAGGCGATTCGTAAGATTCATCGTTCCCTAATTAAGTTACGCCCTACAGCAATTCGTTACTCTATACTCCATTCATTATAGCATTAGACAGAAGTTAAATAAGGTTCTTTTTATGGTATATTTTGTGACAAAATATCAATAATCATGTTACTCTTAAAAATGACGGCTAATTTGCTACATATCCACTTAAATACCAGCTGATATACTTAATCGTTGTCATTCTAGCTATCTATTAAACAAATTTTTGAGTATTTTACTAACTTAAATGATTTAACAATTATTACAATAAAAAGTGTTCATCTTAAAGAACCTAAAGGTTGGATAATTTCCGCACGATTCTCATGTCACTATAACTCTACCAAATTTAAAACGTTACCTAATCCTTGCAAACATTTCGGCAGTAGAGCTTTTTAATTTTGTAAGGTTATGATATATTCATAATTGTCAAAATCGTAATCTGGGATTGTCATTCATTGTGAATGCTACTGCCTTTCCTGTTGTTTTGCCGTTTTCCGTGATCAAATTGTTATTGTTTTCTTATAGTTTAGTTTTAGTTGTTATTAAGTTTTGTTAAATATGGACGATGCTGGTGCAGGCCCTAGTGGTCTACCACAGTAACCTTTGGCATATCAGGATGTTTTTCCAATGTCCTCATCAATAGTCTAATAATGTCTAAATAAATGTTATAAAGTAATAATAAAAATTTATTTTTTTACTATATACTCTTACAATTAGAATTTATCAAAACAAAAGATAGATAGTTTTAGTTCCATGTTGGTTTGGGAGTAAAAAATGTATTTAGAAAATGCAGGCCGCATCTCAACCCCGAGCCCAGCTCTTTCAGACTACCTAACGTTGAAAGTTTCAACAAAACTATAAAATATATGTTTTTTTATCTCTAAAATAAAATGTTCTGCACTGCTGTTTCTGTGATCCTCTTTTTTCTAATGTTATAATGAATGGAGTTATAGTTCGTAACAATATAAATTTAAAAAATGTAAATAAATTGCAAATTTTTTATTAAGTACACTGGTACTTTAATAACGACAAATGAATGATAAATAATATGAATTGTGAATTTCACATCAGTTTTACCAACTGTCATTTACCACCAAAAGAAATGTCAAAGTAGTGAAACGAAAGAAAAAAACGCGATTACATCCTATCCTATGGCTAAAGTCATGTTTAGCCATAGGATGTAAACCCTGAATCGTGTGAAGCCTGAGCAGTGATCATCAGTCTTTCTATTATAACATATTAGTGTTAAGCCACTACTTGAGGATAATATTAAAGAGTGACTTTGCGTAAGTTACTAATATTAAAGAAATGAAACCAGGAGTCTAATTCCTTATATCATAATCTATCGAAACCCCTTTAAATTGACATTTAAAAGATATTTACGAACTTCACTCTATAATTATTCGACATGAAACTGCGATCGCTATGTTTTTTGAAAACAATATAATAATGGACGATATCGTTAATTTTAAGTTAATTAGAATTATGTAAGGTAAGTGTTACAATGCAAATATTACTTTAAGTTTTTAGTAGTTTTATGATCATTCATATGATCATTCGTTCCGAAAGCGTTTGCAACTTTCAACGTTAACTACCTACATAATTTCATAAAGCGCTATGACATTTGCTTTACCTTTGAAAGGGTATAGATTTTCAAATTACACAATTAGCCCACATGAAGCTTGCCCTCAATTCTACTGAGTAATATTAACGTAATAATGTCATCTCTATTAATGATTTTATTTTACCACTCTATTATCTGCTTAAAATATATATTTGTACTATCAACTCATAAGATTATACAAAACTTACAAATTTCTCCACTCTATTTTAAACCTTATAACATTGCCGATTGAGTACGAAATTTATTGCGGAAATTTGATATAAGTATTGTGTTTGACGTACAACCTTGTTTACATCATACATAACATAACATTATTTGCAATTGACTTCATCCTTCATGATACCTTTACACTGCTTCACGTACTTAATAGGCTTCTTCAATACTGAAACCATTGTATTAATAATAATTTTCCATACTAA